ATGACACACGTGCTGAAGAATGCCATGACAATTGTGTCAACAGACGTGCAGCGCGAGCCCTTGGCTGCAAAAGTCGTCAGCCAGTTTGCTTACCTTGTATGTAAGTTTGGTGACAATGCTGTGCAAATCGACTGTTTGCCACACACCCATTGTTAATAGAGTCCGACTGCGCGCCAGCTAAGGCCACTGGGTGCTTTCTCACTGACTGCACTCAACAACCAGAGCTGCCTGCCGACTCAGAGCTTGGAAAAACAACATCGGATGATTCCCTTTGGATGTTCCTTGGTGACAATCTGGGGAGCACGGGATCCGTATAGAAAAGCACATGCTCCATGGCATGTCTTCTTTCAGCGGGATGAGGGATGGACCCAAGATCTCACACGCACCCTTGTCATGTTGGTTGTATACTAAGGCAGGCTGATTTCTTTGACTGCGGAATGTGAAATCAAGGGTATGCTCAAAGGTGACGTCATGAAGATACAGTTGCGATTCATTTGCAAAAAGTCGTGTGCGCTAACTGGAAACAGCTGATGATGGAACCAATGCAAACGAACCCCCCCTCACCGCACCCTCCACACAACTATCTGTACGTGCTGGACACTGCACCGACTTATACCGGAAGAGCCCGTACTTACTTGCCCATGACAAAAACTAACACAAAGCATGAGGTCAACTCCCAGAATCCGCGAGTTCTGGCGTTCTTGGCAGATCGACATCGTGAACACCCTCCTGCCTGTATTGGCTGCGTTGGCTGGCGCCTGGCACCCCAGAACACGAGAGCCAAGCGCCTTGACACAGATCCCTCAACAAACTAAGTTCCTCTGAGTCATCGTGACTTACTTGGGTTCGTTTTGTCTAGCCAATCGGATTCAGGACACTTTCAAAGACACGCAGACTCCCCTCTTCTCAAGACTTCATGAGAACCACACCTTTGCCAGTCATGTTGGGACGGACGGGGTAAGGTGTGCAGCATGCCAAGCAAGGTGATGCAAAAAGTGTCCAGCACACGTCATGTCTTTACATTGGAGCACGTTTTATGACATTCCCCCAGCCCCTGTCCCCCCGGCTCAGGGAGCCATCGCCACAGAAATGCTGGCAAGCATGCGAGCGCTCATACCCAACCCCTACCATCCCCCAGAGTCCGGCCCCCCAGGGACTTGCACTGGAAAACAGCGAGTGACACAGCCCTGAGTGACGAAACATGTTGCCCATTGGCTGATGCCATCTGCAGACCTTTGAGCTTATGTCTCATCTTCGGCGACCAACCGGTGTGGGTAGTCGCGTGCACTCCTCATGCCTGTCCGAGAAAAAAACCGGCACAACCAAAGCAACTCGACTTGCACTCGCCTCCGTCCGGCGCCCTGCCGTAGCTTGTGCACCTGGCGCGAGGGCCCCCTTTCAACACGTGGGGATTTGTCTAAACTCGGGGACCCAAAAGAATGATTTTCCTTTCGGCTTCCCTTGCCAGCACCCCAAAAAGCAGTAGGCACTTAGTTTTCGGTCAGCATGACATCTGAAACACAACTGGTCGGCACATGATGCACACCCCAAAAGGCAAAAGGAAGGCAAGGAGGTAGCGATGGCCTTTTCATGTGTAGCGAGTTTCGTGTGACTGTAATTGGCTGATCACCCGAGCTTCATGCTCGGGCATGAATATTGAAGAAAGTACATCTTGCGGAAGGTCAGGCACGAAAGATGCGGGTTTGGAATAATATCCGTATCCAGTGTGGGCTTTGGCTAGAACAATTATCTGCGGGGAAACTGAAACATGTGGGATATGTGGCACCCCGGCAAAAATGTTGGTTCAATCGGTTCAACGAGGGGTTTGCGATTTGAGTGTCAAGAAGCTTGCGATGCCAGGCTTCTACCCAAAGGAAGGCTGTGAGGGGCCACCGCTTGCGCTCCAAACCCCCCAAACCCCCCACCCACCCCCCGGCGTGCATGCCTCAGAGCTTATGCGGGCTGCGCTGTGCCTGTGGGAGCCTGGACTCCCTGAACTATTTAAGCAATGACCGCAACGGGATTCACAAACAAACTCCGACTCTCTATGGCTGAACAAGGACGGAGTAAAACATGACCCCATCCACGTGTTCTGTCAGCCGCATGGATTGCAGTTGCACCCATCTCAGCACATCGAAACCTTCGTCCCCTTTGCGTGCAGCATCACCATTCAGCTCCCTGACAGCGTCTCAGCAGCCCCAAGTGCCCCGGGCCCAGACTTGGGGCAGCCCCACGCTGGCCTGCTCATGCCATCCCAAAAGAACTCAAACACATTAAAATTTGTTTGCAAAACGCTGTGTTCACGCGGAACAAAGAGCCTGCACAGAATCAAGCCGATAAAGCAAAGCGAAGCCGGGAACCGGTGCACGGCTTGCCTGAGGCAAGCTGCGCTGCATCTGGCAGGAGCGGCAGAAAAGCGCGTTGGGCAGGTAGCACTCCCCGCAGTGGGGACATTGAGAAGCCTCAGAACAAATCAGCCGGCTTCGAACAAACCCACCAACAAACCCACCAACCAACCCACCAACCAACCACCAACCCACCAACCCACCAACCCACCAACCCACCTGCCCACCAACCCACCAACCCATCAACCCACCCACCCACCAACCCATCAACCCATCAACCCACCCACCAACCCACCTGCCAAACACCAACCAGCCAGCAAGCTCCTTCAGCTACGGCATTGACATGTGTTGCCACGTTGGATCAAAGAATATGTTGGCAAGATTTGCGGTGCGACCACGCGATGAGACGATGCCTCTGGATCCACATATCTGTGGCAAAGGAGCGGCAATGGCAGCTGATCATGCAGCCACAGCGTAGTGCCATGAGACACCGAATCATAGAACGTCATTGGCGAGTTGAAACTGCTGTGTCCTACACGCGTAGCCGGCAAAATAGTGACGCGCCAAATCCTTCGATTGGGTACATGATAGGGCATGTAAGCAAAAGCTGACATTTCCTCTCAGCGTCTAAACCAAATGTGTGTGTGGATGCTATGCTGATGAATGCTGATGATAAGAAACGAACAAAGCAAATTATCTAAGCAAATGTCCAACAGAACGCAGTCGAGATGCAAAATTATTTGTTGATCCAGGCAAAAGGGATGTCTAAAGCAACAGGTGCATGTCTTGGTGTCACGAAAACTAAGAAGCATTCTGACACCCGAAGTTAGTTCATAGCAAGTTGCCGCTCCACTAGGTCTCTAGCTGGATGGTTCCTTTTACAATGAGCCATGCCCATAAATGTTTGACTCTTGCGTCTTCCCAAACAGTAAGACTGGATCCTCAAGAATCTCAAACAGGGCAGTAATATCCTTTACTAATTTCGGGCTCTGCACAGGTGGCTTCGTTGGATAGCTGAAATCAAAGCCGACACGAGGGGATGGACTCGTCTTGGCGCCGCTTCAGGGTCACTGCAGCGTTGTTGCTTTTGGTTGTTTGTGTTTGTGTGTCTGTGGTGATGAACCTGGGCGAGTTTTAAGTTAGAGACTCCCCTCTGGGCTTCGGCAATTGCACTCTGTAAAGAGTCACAAAAGGCTGTGTGAGGGGGATGAACCTAGGAAAGAACTTAACAGAATCTATCGCTGCATGCCGGTTCCCCTTGTCCGCTCGGCCCCGCGCTGATGGGGAGTAGCTGTCCTCAGGGCCGCGTCGAAGTCCAGATGGTTGGCTAGCTTTGCCGTCCCACGCTCCCTTCTGACTCGCCGAAGCCTTAGCACTCCCCCAAACCAATTCCTGTCAAACCAACCATCCAAACACACATTCAGAGTAGAAATCTCAATCAAACACGACTGCGCTAACTCGGAAAGCAGCGCCTTTCCAGAGCAATCTCCGGAGTACAGGTTGAGCCCATGGGTCCCATCAACGCTTATGGTCATTCGGACGTGGGCACCTGCCCTCCTTTCGCTGTGATCGGCACATGTCGATTGTTTGGGTATTTGGGTTGCGTTCACGAAACGCAAGTTGCTAGCTAACACAGGCCTCTTCAGTCTCTCTGGATACAGCGCGTCGGCATGCATCTCGCCAGTTTTTGCCTGCTTCCGAAATGACCAAAGACTGAGAAACATCAGGCAAGCAACAGGGTCTGAACGGGTGCACGCCGGCAACATTGTGCAACTATGGAATTCTAAGCTCCCAAACTATTTGCTGATGCCTCACCCATGCAGCCTGGTCTTCGACAAAAGCAGCCCTTTGGGCTTGACAAGACTCTCGCATAGTCTACATCACTAGATGAATCTACCAGTGACCAAGGGGCCCATTGGAAGGAACCCCTGGATTCGTCGGCTCCCAAGATTTACCTTCAGCTTCCCTTTGGCCACTGCACAGTTTCGCCGAGCCGTTGCATCGGATGGCGTTCCGTGAGGATCAGCCTTGGGAACCCGGGATTAGTAAACCCGCTGACTTTTGATCGAGGGGTATCTCCTTGACATTCTTCAAGCACTTATGAATCTGCAACGGCTAATCGGATAATCTAGGGTTCATCCTGGGTTCATCCTGGGTTCGTCCTGGGTTCCCAAAATACCCGCCTGGAACGTGCAGAACTTATCAGACAGGAGAGGACTCCATCCAGACCCAAAGCTCACGTCTCCAGGCTCATGGCTCAGGTTGGTGGATTTGGGGCTGGGCCAAGCTGGAAAGCTTCAAACAGAATCACCGTCGTGGCGATTTTCGAAGCCCTTGATAGGTTGTCAACGTGCAAGGCGCGAAAATTGGAAACCCCAGCAGTCTGCTTTCCTTCTGGACAAATTGCTTGGGGAAACCATGATTCGACACACGCCACATGGCCTTCCCCCCTTTTGCAACCAAAACATATAGTATCCCGCTTCAATCTAATTTGTCCACCCCGCGCACTCACCCTATGTCTGGCCTGAAGGCGAGCGTTCTGTTTTGATGAAGCCAAATGCTTTTTCAGGACTGAGCTGCAAATGGCGTGTATTGCTGAACTGTACCTCAGTACCATCCTTTGTTGCGACATGTCCAAATTCTCAGAACTTGCCCCCAGAACTTGCCGCCCAAGCAGGGAATTCAGGATGAAATTCATGGTCACTACTCCACCCAGACCGGTCCACTTCAAGAGCCACACCTCTGAGATTCCGCCTTCGGAATTTCGGCCGCCTGAAGTCAGCGCGCCAGGGGCGCTCCCCCGCAACTGACGCGAAAGCCGCCCTTCAGGCGCCAGCTGCCTGGCAGCGCCCGCCGGACCCGCGCGGGTGGCCTCGCGCTTCGGGCAAGGCAATCCGAGTGGCGCAAAGCATCTGCCGTGCCAGCCGTTTCTGGGAGAGCAAAAAAGCCTGTCTGTTTTGTTTATCTGAAAAACGCCTTGAGCCAGGAGCTTCTGCAAGCTCACCAGCGCCACATCTTCAAAGTGATACATGCCAAGTCCAGAGTCCAACGAACAACGAATCTACAGAACGATGACCATCACAAATCGCCGACGGGGAACCCTTCGAAAGAAACGTTGCCATGGGCAAACTCGTCTCGCCATCGGGAGAGCACGCTAAAAGTTGCGCTGAATCTACGTATAATTGTTGATAGTATGGACTTTCCGGCAACGACTTGAACTTGAACAAATCACAACATTCCCATACGTGTACAAATCAGCATAAGTGGGGGAGTGTTGCAATCGACATCTATCCAGCATTGCATGCCTGCACACGGCAGCAATGAACACCCAAAAACATGAACAACAGGTTGCATCGTGAACTTTCAGTGAATGCAGCCCGCCAGCAAACTAAATGAGATGCTGCCAAATTCCTGAGAATGACCGGATGCCACATGATGTTGACCCCTTGATACACCCTGGCTGAACCTAGGGTTCACCAAATGAGAAATGACCACATTTGGTGCCAACCCCATCCAACCCTTGGAGGAATGGTACATACGACGTGCAAGGTGAAGACCAAACTTTCCATGTCGATGTCACGTATCTATCTATCTATCTATCTGTCTATCTATCTATCTATCTATCTATCTAGCCATCCATCTATCTGTCTATGCATCTATGCATCTAATCCAATCTAATCGAATCTAGCTAGCTATGTATCTGTCTACCACCTGTCATTCATGACACACGCATGTTACAATGTTCAATGCATCACATGTTATATGATACGTGCATGTGGCATAGATCCGTATCTTCACGTAGACGCTCTTGGGGGATTCAACGGCCCTCCTGCTTTCCACGCCTCTCCGGTGGAGGTGGAGATGGGGTCTTGAGCTTGAGCATGCCGCCGGTGCCTCAAGAAGAGGACCCGATGGCTTCTTGAACCCCACCGGGACCACTCTGGAGGGTTATATCATTTAGGGTTATTTATTTCAACAAAAACAAAAAAGCGAAATAGTTGTCTTCTGAAACCAACAATTTGGCCGAAACACACGGCAAGCCCCCTCAGGTAGGTCAAGCATTCAACGGGTCATTGATGTATGTGTTGCTTTTTCCCGAGCCACGAAATGTCCGAAGGGATTCGCAGATCGCCCCCCTTTCACCGGGCCGCTGGTGGCGAATCCGGGTAGACGCTGGAAGCCGCCCAGGGGCAATCCGCACGGCTTCACCGGAGGCAAATTCTCCGGCTGGACCTGCCACGAGCCACAAATCAGGCGCGCCATGCTGCACTGTTTGCCTGTGCAACCCTGGAATGCCCTCCGCTTGTGACCGCTGGAGTGAAAGAATGTGATGCTGTAAAGGGCTGGTACTGCTGGGCTACACAACATGCTGCGGACGTAACACCACCTGGCCTTGATTTGACATAGGTGGTTTTCACGATTTTAACTTTGAAGATTTCACTTTCAAAGCCCTCCTGCAAACTACAATCCGCCGACACAAGGCACCATGCTCGGAGCAAGAGATGGCAGTTGATCAATTCCTGCCTCCAGAAACGCCATCCTCGCAAGAAACAATTATCTGTTAATCTTTCGCCGCGACCCTTTCTGTGCGGCTTGCGCTCTGGAGCCATTGTTGCTGCTGCAGGCAAGCATTGCAGCTGCTGAATGTATTCAATCCCACTGAAAAGTCGATCCACACTTGCCGATGACAGCGTCTGATTTCACCCAAGCGATGACCTGAGTAGCTGGACTCTATCGCTCTCTCTCTCTCTCTACAGAATACACGCACACAGACAATATTTATTGATTTATTCATTTATTTGTGTATTCATACATGCATTAGTATGAATATATACGAACTATCTCTAAACATACATAACTCATGCGCATTTGTTGCCCGTCCTGATAAAGGTGCACAATCAAAGGGTGCAATGGGGACTGGAAGAAGCCACCCATCGAAGCACAATCTGAATGAGATGAAACCCATGATCTCAGATGGCAAATGGCGGACTAGTCGCAAGGAGTCCCATGGGCCTTCATCGCCGGTGAGGCTTCTCCGCGCTTTGGCAACTGCTGGTACCTTACCGGCGTCCCGAACGGCACCCTGACACCGTCCCTTTGGGTTCCATGAACGGTCGAAGCCCAGAACGAGCAAACAGGGAACTGAGGCGCAAACATAATACATGTCAAGCTTACGCCTGCCAGGTATGATCATTACTTGCAGTTGTCCAGGGCATGAAGCACTTGCCAAATAAAAACACCCACATTCCTGAAAGCACATAAGCCTTCCCGACTTCTGTAGCGGCTTCTGTTGACGACATGGTAGGTCATTGCAAGGCAAATGCATGCTGGGAATGTGATCAACACCTCTATGTAGTCGCAAGAAGTGACCTGCGCAGATTAGATCACTGCCGTCGTTCGCCAACAAGTACAAACCAGGGGTCCTCAAGAAAACACCGTCCTGATCATTGCCGAGGTTGTTTGACCCTTGGATGAGCCAACCCCAATATATGTACAATGAGATGCACCACTAAGACCGAAGCTGCCAACCAAGCTGATCAGAACTTCAATTCTGTGCAGGCAGCAAAAGTTGCTGGATTCAGCCACAGTTGAAACCAGAGTCCTTTGAATCCTGCCATTCTGGGTTTAAGATTTCAAATCATTATTTCCCTAGATTTCCGTGCACAATAAAATGGAAGCCGACTGGGAAACTTGGGAAGACTACTTCTGTTTGCAAAAGGCCCCAATCCTCCAACATGGATAGTTGGAGGAAGGTCACGAGAACATTCCAATCTTGCGGCAAGGCAAGAGCAAACCTGAAGAGCCCAGAATCAGGCACTCAAATTCCCTGGCTCCATGGCCCCTGTTGAGGTTCACAAAGGGCTCCTCACCGCCATAGACGTATTTTCCACATAGGGATTCGGACCTTCAAAATGGGTGGGTTCCCTTCTTTGGTTTACTTTTAAACCAACCCCAAACAGGGTACCCTCAAAGGCGCACGCGCCCACACAGATACCGACAGCCTTTAATATACAGTGCACCCCTGATCAATCCACTTCCATACGAGCCTCTTTGTAGTGGGAATTCCACTCATACATGACCGTTTTTGGTTCATCAAGGTTCAAAATCGTTCTTTCAAAGTACTGGCACAGGTTCCCGGCACTGAGGCGGCCATTCTCTTGGTTCCTTGTCTGTTGCACGAAGGGCAGGCATTTCCCCCGTTGCGTTTCTAAAACGTCAGCTAGCTGCCCAAATGAGTGACACATACATCCCACCTCCCATGTTTGCCCGGATCCTCTGAGTTTGTTTTGTTCTGGTCAGTTCAGACTTGCAATACATACGGGGCATCAATGAGCAGAGAAGAGATCCTTTTGGAACATGAGAAGTAGCGGTTCCTGTCATGCGTCTTAGGAAGCGGACCATATCGCTAAAAGTCAGCTCCAAATGATTCCGCATCTGTGATCTTGATATTCATTCTGTTCCTTGAGTCCCTTGGCTGCTCCTAGGAAAACGCCTTTAAGACACCAAGGCTAGCAGTGCCACACTGGAGTAGGACAATGTCCCATCCGGGGATTCCTAACTTCCCAAAGTGGCAGCGCAGCTGCAGAAAGCCGGATTCCCTTCATGCATCGCCTGGCTTCAAGTGCGACTGCGCACCCATTTACGTCTGCCACGGTCGAAACTCCTTCGCAAAAAATGGTCGCGGCCCGCATCCAATGGTGCCAGTGGTTGCTTCAAACCGTGGTGACCGTCACGAAGCTGTGCTGTGAAGCCTTCAGGACTCCTTTGGAACAAAGATGTTTTTGTTCGGCTACCAAAAGGACTCCGTGCAAGCAAAATAATCCTCTTTAACTTGGTTGCTGTTGACCCCCCTGCATTAACTGAGCAACAGAGTATGAAACCAAAGACGAGACCCCTGAATGGTATGTAAAGGAGCGTAAAATTGTTTGGACAGGGCACGAAGAGGTACAAGACAAGTCTTGCGATTATGACGAGGGATGAACGGCAACAAGGTATGAACGTGCAAGTGGCAGGTATGAAAGCTGCGCAGCGGTTGCCCCAAAAGAAGACCCTGTTCCCACTTTTAGGTCAGGGGGCCAAAGCGCTAGTGTTTAAAAAACCTGTTGGTTTCCTGGGAACCAAGGCTTGGTCCTCTGGGGGGGGGGGGGGATAACGGCCTGCTTGAGCTGGGCGGCAACATGCCAGCGCTGCTGCAGAGAATCCCCACCTCCTGGGCAATTGACGAATTGGGCCGAGCGAGGCCCGTGACCCCAGGTCCCCAACTTCCGACAGGCAAAGCAGGAGAGAAGCGGGAGCCAATGGCACGTGTTCCGGCACTGCGTACGTCGAGCAGAACCATATTGATTCATCCTCTTGCGACATCCCGCTGGGGGAGAATCGAGACTGGCACGGTAATTGCAGGACATGTGGTGCATGTTGCAGCCGTGTTTGTGGCCTCCACATCACTCTCCATGTGGCTGCATATGGTGCGTGGAAGCATTCAAAACATCGACCGCCACAATCTCTGAGGAACAAACACGCGTCGATGACAGTCCCTGCTATCTGCTGATACAAGCGTATTTCTATGGCTTCATTGAACACTGGGTGTTTGAGCAACCAGATACGTTTCTGAGCTTCAATTATTGGCCGTTTTGGGTACATTGGGTGAAAAATGATGTCCACCAAGCATTTGGGAGTTCTATGAATACAAATCAGCAATCTGCCGGTCATCCGTCACCCCTCCCAGTAATCCAAGCCCGTGGGCTTGCCAAGGAGCGCCATCAATGCGCAAAGGAGTCCTGGACCTTGGTGGCGCACGCTGGACCCCAACCTACCCATGCGCGAGTGAAACAAAGCGATGCCTCTGCGGTAGCGGGATGCCTACGCCGACCCTCACGCGCAGCTTACGAGCGCACACGCGCGAAAATGCTTCCTGGCAGAGTTTACGCGAGGCTTGCGCAAGCCGTGCTTAGCAATATTCTTGCACGCTTCCACACTGCTAGCCTATGCGAGGCCTTTCTGGTGCGATCGCAGTGCTCGAAGTGCGAGTCAATACGGGGTACTAAGTTGCACGAAGTGCACTTTGGCAGCTCCAGCTCGTAAATCGCAGCTTTTCAGTACAAGCGCAGTACGTGAAGTACACCTGGCCAGGAGCACGCTTCCAAGCCTATGCGGAGCTTGCACGCAGCTTACACAAAGAAACTCGAAACAACATGCTTATGCTCGCTGACGCGCCTGCGTGTTTAGCTTACGGCCTGTTCTTGTAAGCTGTTTACCTTAGTGCTTTTCATGCCCAAGGACAGCCCCAACTTTTGACCCCCCCCTCCAGGTTTCAACTGGGGACGTGTTAGCTTGGGAAAACCCCGGTCGGAAGATTGCTCCTTGCCATGGCCAAGACATGAGCCCAGGGAATAGAACTAGCAAGAGGCCAAACCTTGGGTCCGATAGAATGCTTCAAGAGTGATAACACAGGAAGCTGTCAGGTGTCCATTGTGGGTAATTGGGTGAAAATATGCGTGACCAACTCGGTTGACAATCTGCAGCATGCTCAGCTCTAGATTCTGCGTATCTAATTTGCAATCCTGCAAACTAGCTGGCAACCTCGCTAGTTTGCTTGCAAGCTGACAGTCAAGCAGCTAAGCTTGGCTGGCTAGCTAACTGACAACCAACCTGCTAACTAGCGATTCTCCAAGCAGCTCGAGAACTCGCTAAAGAGCCAACTAAGCTTGGCTGGCCAGCTACCTAGCTAATTCGCTATCGAGCCAACTGGCTAGCTCGCAAACTAGCGGACTAGCAAACTCGTACTAACTTGGGAGGTAGCTAGCTACCTAGCTAACTGAGAGCAGGCAAATCAGCTACTTTGCTAGGCGGGCTAGGTAGCTGGCAGGAAACTCCCTAGAGAACTACTATACCGCTAGTTAGCTAGCACTAGCTACCAGAACAACGCAGAAATAAAACACGCACAAGCATGCCACGCGTGGGCACTGCCAAGCCAACGCCTCCCCCTTGGCTGCTTCATGGTGTTTGAGGCTTCCGCCCGCCGGTTCTGGCGGCTCCACTGGCATGTTGCATTTAAAACTGCTTAATTGCATCCCCACAGCCACAGGCTTGCCTGTCAAGCCGGTATACAGTGCACCTGCTGCCAGATTCATCTATTCTGTCTAACTACGATCATCTCACAACAAACACGATGCAACCAGTTCCGCACTTGCATTCGCATGCTCTTAATCCTCATTCGTGAGGCAGCTCTTCGCGCTAAGCACCAGGCAGCGCAACGGCCACAAAGGGCAGCGGCGCGATCTGGAACGCCTCAACCTGGCAGCCACGCCCTTTTTTCAAACAAACGAGTAAAGCATCACACTAGATCGGAAATCTCGGAGTTCCATTGCATGGTTCTATCCCGGTTGCCCATGCTTAACCTTTAGGTGAGACTGGAGTCGGACGTAGCCTGCCAAAGCGTACATTGGATTCAGGAAATTGTCCTTGTACATGTAAAATGACCGCTCGAAGGCCACCCTCCCAACGCACTTAAGGTTAGCCAACGACGTCTGCGCTAGTCCCACCACACTGATCTTCCCGATAGCTTTTGAGTCTAACTGGGAGACCTCCAGGCAAAGCACAGCCTAAAAACATACCGTGCCATGCAAGCGGTGATGCTTGAGGTGGAACGAGTGTTTCAGCTAAACGTTGGTTGTTGTATAGCCTGTAGCAGGCCTGAAAGCATCTTGAAAGCATCTTATAAGCACGGGCAACATAGCAACACCTCCCAAACTAAAGATGCAAAGTTCATCCATCTGAAGTCAGTCATGCGAGTCACTCTTTCTCCGCGCCTGATTTATCAGCCGGGGTCTATCACTCTCCGGTATGCTGGCCCCAGGGCATGTGCTTGTTTTGTTTTGTCGTCAGCCGTCCTCACACAGGCAACTGGACTTCATCGTGGTTGGGGATGGGGTGAGGTGAGGTGGGGTGGGGTGAGGTAGGGTAATCACGGACAATCGCAACTATAGAATCCGCCGACCCTCTGCCTCCCGTCCCAGCCTCCTGCAGAGGGGACCGGCGTGGGGTGCAACTGGAAGTGATTGAAATCAATGATGGTCCCTGAGGAGCACGCCCGAAAGTACAAAAAGTGGATTCCCAGGACCGGTCCTGGGACCAGTCCTGGGACCGGTCCTGGGACCGGTCCTGTGGGACTGGTCCCAGGACCGGTCTGGGACCCAGGTTTGCGGGACTGATCCTGGGACTGGTCCCGGCCAGGACCGCTTTCAGGACTGGTCCGGTCCCAGCCGCTGGTATCGGATCCCACTTCAAACCGCTGCAGAAACCCGGTGCCACCTCAAACAGCTCCAGACACCTGTTTTTTCAGTGTCGCTGTTTCCGGACTGGCACCCGTGTTTCAGGACCGGACAGGGTCCCAAGTCCCAGTCCCTCCCTGCGACCGGTTGAGGGGCACCGACGGCCTTGTTTCTAGGACCAGCTCAACGTGACTTGGGCGCGAGCCGGCCCGTGCGGTCATTGACGGACGAGCTGCCGCCTGTCTGACTTTTCCGCTAATCCTTGTGGTAGTAGAGGATCCCTGGATCTACTGCCAGCGACCGGTCCAGGGCCACTAGGGCCACTGTCGCCGGGGCAGCTTCGGGAGGGCCAGTTTCAGGGCGACCCGGGACAGGCGACTGCTCCCGGGCCAACTCGAAGTGACTTGGGCGCAAGCCGGCCCAAGCGGCAATTAACGGACTAGCTGCCATATTTCTGACTTTTCCGTTAATCCTTGTTTGTGGTGGTAGAAAATCTTATAAGTGGTCCCTGGGTTTGCGGACGTGTTTCAGGACCGGTCCTTGTGACTTTTCCCTTAATGCGCCGAGGGTCGGCGGCAGCAGGCGGGAGCCTGGTTAATCTTTACACGGTTGTGGGTAGACCAGGCTTTCATAATGACTTGCTTGGTGAAAGTGAACAACTCGGGCAAAAGGCCCACGTTTACCATGACAACAAGTTTGTAGCCAATTTCCATTGAAGAAGCACACTTCGAAGGCAAAGGCCGGACGAAAACAAACGGGCTTCAGGCACATCTCTGCGCCAACTTGGCCAACTCAAGCAACAAGTGCTTGTGGCCTTACTGTAGCTGCTTCTGTGGCATCTGTGGTACGAGTAAACGTACCCGGTTCTGAGTGTGGCTCCATTGCTTGCCGATCTGAGCAAACGTTTCTGATGTGTGAAGACCGGCGGCGAGTCTCCCAGCCTGTGGCTGCACAACGTCCACTGCCTCCGGAAGGCGTGCAGACCGGCGCAAACATGGCTTGTGACCCGCAGCATCAAAGTCACCCGGGGCCCCAAAGGGTAGCTGAAAGAGAAGCAACTGCAGTTTCGGACATTCACCCCCCAACTGGCAAAATATTTTAGCCCAGGCACAGGTCTCCCATTGCTGAGCCTGCTGACAGATTGGCAGATCCAAATGGGCTCGTCTCGACGGAGCCAAACCCAAGAAAGGATAGAGACCAATGCTGCTTTGTCTACAACAACGTATTCCATTTGAAGTCGCCAAACGAAGGAGCACAAACTGCGCTTGCGGCGAGGGAATAGGTCTTTGGTGTGCTAAAGACCCGACTGCGATGGTCTATGTATTGCATGGGCAGGCACTTGAGAAGGCCTTTTGTAGACTAGACTATTGGAGGCGGAACTCATTGTAACTTGACCAAGCTTGGTAAGCTCACGCATTTTGGTCCTACATGAAGAAACTCAATGGATCCCCAGCAGGGCGTGGATTGAGAGACGCCGCCTCCGGCAACAAACCGACGGATGGCAAGGCTGGCAGGGCTGAAGCTCATTCAGCGCTCCGAAGGAGTGGATACATCCCCAACACTCGCCAGAAATGAAACATGTCCACTTGGCTGTGGTTGTTACTACCGTTTTGGGTTTTCCAGTTTGGGGTTTTCGGTGAATCCACCACCCAGTTGAGAACCTTATTTTAGTGGTTGGATTGGGATGTTCACTGGGGGTACGATTTGGATTTGCACCCATGGCCACTTGACAACTTCAAATCCTTGGCTAATGTCGCATGATGACTCAGCTGTTTACAAACGCCCGCTCGGGCCATCAGCCATGGCACAAATGCGCTGGCCAGTCTTGGAAACACCCTTGCGCCTGATCGCTTCGCATTTTTGAGGGAGTTCCAGAGTTCCACTCCCATGGTCAACACTGCGGCTGGCGGCTCCTATAGAACCCCCCGGCAAGTTGAAGCCCAGCATCAAGGAAGCTGACGGGAGGATGTTGAAAGACTACCATCTAAACGGCATCCTGTCCACCACCAACGGGTAGACCCTTCGCTGGAGATTCCAAGCAGTGGGCTGGATTCGAACCCTCGAGACTCTGCACCACAAGCGACAAAGTCGGCTTCCCCAGGGTCTCGAAACTGCAGACAAACAGTTTGGGGATCCCAGCACACTCCAACCTCCCAGGTCTATTCCCAGATTGCCCTTTGCCCAATTTGGACCTTCGCCCTCCGGGCCGCCTGCACCCGGCACGCCGACGCCGACTTCGCCGACTTCGCCGACTTCGGCAGAGCGCTGCCCGCGGTGCTGGTGCTGAAGCCTCGCAGCCTTCGCAGCCCCGGCGGGCAAATGGCGCCAAGGGCGCGGGCGGCTGCCGCCTACGCCGCAAAGCCGCAGAGGGGTGGGGCCAAACCCGGAGCGCAGCGTAGAAGGCTTCAAGGGCCCAGCTTTCTTGGGAGGCAAACTGTAAGAGCCAGCCCTCACAGTTCGAGAATCAGTTGAACCTTCAACAAACACCCCAATATTCTGGGTGAAGCGAAATAATTCATCAACATAAAATACAGGCGAGAAGGGAGCCCTCATGTGTGAGGTCGCAAACCTGTAACCTGTCACACGGTGCTATGCTATAGCCGCCATAGCCTAGCCACAACATTACATGCACACATTCACAAACTCGGAAATGGACATCAATAATTCAATGTTGTGTTGATGACAAGTTCGAACAGAACGAGGTCTCCTTGAGTGATGTGCCCATGCTTTGTCCTTGGCTAAGTGCAAGCTGTCGAAATTGTGCCTGCGGTCAAGAGCATGTCCGTGCATGTCTGTGTTTTAAGGAATAGTTTTCCTAGTTGGCCCCAGTCCATTTTGGCTTGCATCTGCGCTGCGACTGCGGCCTTTGCCAAGTCTGGTGTCCAATGTTGAAAGATAGCCGCCGACCGGTGGATTCCGGCAGACCGTCACGAGAAGTTGACATGCTCTCTGGTTTACAGGGAAACAAGGGTCAAGCTATCATAAGGAGGCATATTTCATAAAACGCCCATGCGGAGCATTTGCAAGGAGATGCTCAGTGATGCGCAAGCGAATGGCAGTGGCTACCAAGCTCGCCAAGCTCGCCCCGTGAGACACGGAGAATCGAGGCTTGGGAAGCCTTCCGGGCTCAAGGCCGGACTTGGACACCTATACGTCAACTCCAGTGAACTGCCAATGCCTTTTGGCGTACCTGGGGAATCCAAACACTGCCCAGGCCTCTAGCAATAAGTGCATCTGAACATGTGACACCGACAAACAAGCGTTGCAGATCAAGCAAGCAATCTCGGCGCCTCTGCTTCACCTCCACAGGAAGCATCCGCAGCTTTGGCTACAAGGGGCAGCACTGCGACTTCTGGCGGCGAGCATGGCGATCGGGCAGTTGGTGATGTCGAGGTTTCTGCAGGCAGTTCTATTGGTATTGGAGTTGCCGGTGGCGATAGCGTTGCTGGTGGCGATTCCGATAGCGGGGACGCCACGAGCGTCGACGTCTCCGCCGTGGTGGGTGGGGCACGAGGCTCCGCCCGCACCAGCGCTGGCGCCATTGGCGCAGGTGTGCTCGGTGACGCCGGCGACGAAGGGGGTGTGCGCGCAGACCGCGGCACGATGATCGGCATGGCCTCAGCAAAGGTATGGGACCCCGGTTTAGAATCCTGCAAAATCCATGTGCCCCACAATAACCACTCAGATGCCCAGTGGCCATAGCAACCCACTGGTTGCAACCCACACTTACCAGAAAAGACAAATGCAAGAAATCGCTTCCTTTCTGAGCTGCCGCCGGGGGGGGCTGCAACGTGGTCGGGGACTTGGCCACCGCCTTTGCCTTCGCCGGGGACTTTGCGGGCGACGGCGGAGATGACACCGACGAGGACGGCGATGGCACTGCCGCGGCAGGCGCCTAAGGTTGGATCCGAATTTGGGATTCAAATGGATCTGTCAATTCAGTCAACCAACCAATTCTTGCTCCACACAGGACCCAAATCAAGATCAACTGTCACTCAACCAATGCTGGAGAAGACAAACGGATGTGTGATACTAAGGGGCCCTACATGAAACCGCCACGAGGGTTCCCGGGCTTGACATCTCAGCCTTGGTCATTCCAGTCCGCTTGGGGACTTATTCATCAGGATTATGTCGACCACTTGCTAAGTGGGGTTGTGCAAGTGGGTGACAGTAGGTCCGTAGGTGACACATTTGTGCTGCCGAGGAAATCTGAGAACATGCATAGCTATTGGTTGATTTGAGCTAATGATTACAGGCGTCATTCGTGAGATATGCTAGTTGATCCTCGCATCAATAAAATGTTGGAAATTCAAGGAATCGTGCATGTCCAGTGAAACAAGATGAATCAAGTTATCATGCTCGCCAAGCTGCTGTTCGCGTGCGATGCAGTTGCAGCCTACCAGGCAAAGCATTACAACTTGCGTGCCATCAACAAGTAGCGTTCAAATCAAGAGCTCAGATTATTCAAACCACAAGTCTGAGCAAACAAGAAAAGTCAAGAGCACCCCAAGTTCGACTAATCCAGACAGCTTGACGAATCAAGAGCACCACAAGTCAAGCACCAGCCGATACACGTCCGAAGGCGGAGCAGCTGCCAAGAGGTCCCTTGTTTTGTCGCTGCCTGCCTGGTGGGCAACCCGCCAACCCGAAAAGGAGAATCCGCGAGGCATCTGCAGATTTACTGCGTGAAACGCCTGTGAACAGCTCTGGCGCACCGAACCTGTTCTGAAGCAGGCCTTCTTCACGATCACGGTTGGCGAATCTGAGCTTGTGTAAAGCAATATCTGCAGTTCAGCTTCACTTTTTGCAGATTGAATTAATGCCATTCTAGTGAGAAACAGATCGTAGGCCCTCAATTCAGAATGATTTGAATGGAAACTGCAGGAAGCTGGTCGGGAGGGTTTTGTTTTTGAAATGGCTCCATTTGCAAATGAGCAGAACATCGACAAGCATAATATGTTGCTGCTGGAGCCTACTTGGCATGAAAAGGAGCAAACAAATTTATAATTCGTGGACTTCCGAAAATGAGAGGCTGATTCTGTTTGAAACTGGCTTCCGTTCCTACCTGGCTCTTAGCGTTGACTTTGAGATTGGCCAAGTGATGGAGCCAATTTCACCAGCAACGATAGAGCAGTTCAATTCCGATTCGAAGATGATGCGCAAACGTGTCAAGATCACAGGGCCCTCCGCACTGGTGTCCCTTCAAATTCCAGATCTGTCTCTAACTTCTGGCCACGGACATGATTCCTGGCCCACCAATTTCTGGACTGAAACAAACCCTCGAACAAATCTCAACACCCGCGAAAGTGTGCTTGAACCAAAAAGCCCTCGCGCCTGTCAGCCATTGGCGATGGATCCTTGGCGGGACCGTTCTCTTCGGTTGCCTCTGGACCAGGTGGTGTGGTGTCCATCCCCCTTTGGCTGGGTTATTGAACACCCTCTTGGCTGGGTTGTCAACTCTTAGAATGATCAACTTGGACCTCTGACATCTCTCTTGGGGCACAAAAGAACTGTGCCTTGTCCGCTAACCAGCTGCAATTTGCCCAACTGTGCGGCAAAAGCGTTGATCGGCTCACTTGGAAAGCCCTCTCGCTGAGCCGCGAGAATCTAAATTAATGTGTAAATCTTCGTAAGGTACCCTTTGAGGGACATCTTGTCATTTTTGCCGTGGAGACTTATGTCCATCCACATTCCACCAGTCCCTTGCAGAACTCCTGACTTAGCTCCACAAGGATCCCTCTATTCAGTGGCCAATTTGGATACTCCCAGCTCCTTGGCGCCTCCCTTCAAACCACCAGCCGGGAGACCTAGGCCCTTGGGGCTCGCACCGATCGGAGCTCGATCTCCCCAGCCTTCGCCTGGCAATGGGTCAATTGCGCATGTCGGTGCAGGAGCTGAGAAGTTTTTTCGTTCTGCTCACCATTTGGAATCAGAGAGCCATAAGAGCAGAGAGCTGACGGGAAAAGGCTGCACTTGCGAAGTGCGGAGAACGGCAGAGAGCTCCGCGAGCAAACTGGAAATCGAACCAAAACAAATGCGTTCCGGAGGGTCGACTCACGAGAGTCAGCATCGCTCAAACCGCAAGAATGGCAATTGGCAAGTGTTTGCTGACCCCCGAAAGTGCACAGGAGAGCTCCGCAAGCCAACTGAAAACCACAAACAAGCACAGTTGCTTCAGGTCATCCCAACGAAAAGTCAGCAAATGGTTCACCGAACCAAGGCAGCCAAACAACGCTCGCGTCTGGTGGCCGCACCTGCTCCGACAAAGCTAGGCTTGGCGATTGCAGGTGCCGCGACGCACATTTGCACTTTCTGTATGTTGATTTGCGCGTGCTTCCACACAGCGCTCGCAGGCCAGTTGGAAAGTGCCGTGGGTGCGCCATGAAAGTTCTTCTGACTTCCTAGACAGAAGCGTCTTGCCCGGTTTGCTCTATGCACAAAACAATGCCCGACTTTCGGCAAGTCCGGCGTCTCAAAGCTTGGGACCCCAGGCAGTGTTTCATTGATGGAACCGACCTCAAGGGACTTTGTTGGAATGGTTTTAGAACTAACATACCACCAACCAGTCAACCAGTCAAGCGGTAGCTCCAGCCTTTGGCAACGGCGGCACGGGGCTGACAGCGTCCTGGCCGCGGCAATGTCCCTTCGAATGGCTTGCAAGCAACGGCCGTCAAACATTCGCACATCACCACGTGCCGGATCCGCCGATCCGTTGGGGCTGCTTGAGGTGTTCAAACCTGTGAACTTGTTCAAATCCAATGAAACTCCTTGAACATCGCCCCAAACAAATGATTTCCCAGCTTTATTCATTGGTAACAAGCAAGCCAGGGTCGGAGCTTGAGTGCCAGTAGGCATCCTCGAATTCACCAGCATCTGTCAGCGCTTGGCATATCTTGGAATCCAAGAACCAGCTTTTTACAAGCTGAAGACAACACTAAACTCTTTGGCGGCCGAACCGTCTTGACCCCCATAACTATGCTTGGCTCTTTGAAAGAGGGCAACGAAGCTGCGTCCCCACTCACGGTGGTCAAAAGGACCTGGTAACAAGGCAAGCCATAAGGAAAACGGTCACTCGAACTCCCACGAAACAAAACATCCATTAATGTTACCTGGAAGCGAACTACAATTACCTCGAATTTCTTGGAGCTGCCGAAGGCTCAAGCGCCCACGGCACAACCTGGTCGGTTCCCATGCCACATTAACAAGCTCCCTCAAATGGTGCCACGTTGGCTTTCTCTTTGAACGTGGACAGTTTCGGTCCAATTGGTCTCACCCCAGGAGGCTTCCGTCTGCCGATCGCTGGGCACTGGCCTGTCGGGCTGTGTGGCCTGGCGAGCCGCAACCCGAGCTCCCGAATTTCTGGGGTTGGGTCTTGCTGGTTCGATAGGCAGGGCATGAGAAATGAAATGACAGAGAATGACCATCCCTGATTTGGTTTCCTTTAAGGGCATTCCCAGGTTCATTCCCAAAACCCGGAAGGTCATTCCCTTCTGAGCAGCAGCAAGCTAGGCAAAGGATCAAGCGGGCAGCGACTAATCTCCGACCCTTGCCTTGCCCAAAACTGTGACTCGATGAAGTTTGACCCTCTCCTCAAAAACAGGTGTGACGCTGCTGAACAAAGTGCTAGATATCAATAGAGTATTGAAGGCACTGTTCAAAGCAGAACTAGGTTTTACAAGATTATATTACACAAAGCATCTATAGGCTTCTAGAATTTGAGCCCCTCCCTGGAAAAATGCTCCAAAGGAAACCAAGGATAAACACATCATTCTCGTTGCCCAACACATCAATGCTTGAGCCATAGGACCTGCCGTCCTAGGAAGTCGCAAGCCCAGTTGCCCGGGAATCCTTTTCGCGGGTGACTCCTGATGGACGAAATCCATATCGCACCACCTTGAAACCATGGGAGACCATTGCTTGTTGGTATTTACTAAGGGAATCATCAGCTTGAAACCAGGGTTTCTGAACGGTGGTGCGAAATGGATTTCGTTCATCCACAGTATGTTTGCGGCACCGAACCCCGAAACTAGGTGCCATTGACTTGCAAAAGGCCTGTGAGGCGGAGCCTGTCGCCTCAAGTCCTCAAGCCGATTCTCACAAAGGTTTGGAACCTTCCAGGTCCATGTGGCACTTGTGTTCAGCCAGCTGTCGCTGGTGAATTGTCCTGCGGGGATCAAAACATCTCTCTCTCACTCTCTTGAAGAATTCACGCTGGTGCTACAATGGCTAAAACTGACTTCCTCAAGACATGTTGGGGGCAACGCGATGATGTCAAATTCGGGAGTGTCTTGCCTGGCTACGCCAGTGTCTCGCCTAGATCATGTAAAGTCAGATGTGCTAGGGTTAATTACAACACATGTTAGGGACAATCATCAGCCCGTCAAAGGATTGCTTTCATTGCATGGCAAATGTCTTGACCACCATCTACCTGACTTGGGGATTGGATTTGCTCGAGTCATCGACTCGCCCGCCTCGATCTGCAAGATCCTGGCGCCGATCACTGTGATGGACCACCCACGTTCGGAGGTAAGTACCCCTTACTCCACCAAATGAATCACCGAAAAGCGGAATAAGGAATCCGCCAACAACAGGCAATTTGTGTGAGTGGCCGTCAACACGTGACTGGCTTCAGCATATTTCTGTCAAACCTCCCTGAAGATCTTGGTTGCGGGCAATGATAATGTGCAGGAAATGCATCAACCATGATGCAAGCACGCTTCTTGACCTTGAGGGACTGTGCCGGAACTATATGCCGATACTCACGCACAATTGCCGCGTTGATCAACACAGTTTGACCACTCTAGCTGGCGAACGGCTAAAGTTTCTCAGTTTCAACCTCCCAACCCTGCAGCCCGGCGGCCCCGCCCGCCCGCACCTGCCGAAATTGCCTCGGAAGCGCCTGGGTTCCTGTCAGGGGGGGGGAGGGACATGGAGACCGGAGATCACTGATGGGTCATACTCCACGTGCACCAAGACGAGTGGCCCAGCCCAGGGAATTGACGTTTGCCAACCAAGCGTGCCAGGGACAAACAGCGATGTCCAGCCAAAGACTCCAATTTCTTACCACAATGTGTGCTTTGCACTTGCGCAACCCCAGCTAAGTTATTTGAAGCGTCTCAAATGGCTTTGATTGCTCGTTCCTTGCCCAAGCCTCTCGGAAAGAACCAGCCCTTCTCACAGCCTCGTCCACACTGAACAAATACAATTGTGATGTATGTGTGTGTGTGCGCGTCAAATTCAGGAACCCCTAACCATGGCTGTCCAGACGGGTTCCGTCGGTTTCCTTCAAACAACCTTCATGATGACCCCACTGCCGAATTTCCGGTCAGGTTGCAAGACCAGCAGCCAAACTTCAAAATCTACTAGAACGTGGGAGGGTGCATGACATATTCAGAGCTGGAATGTAGGGGGTCGCCTGACAAAGGAACCTCTCGTGGATAGTGGCGCAATTGCAAACCATGGCAAACCAGTCACCCGAGTCTAGGACGCGCCGACGTGCATTGACATGGTCGTCGCATATCATCACATGGCATCATCATTCGAGGGGCAAAGAGAAGCATGAGAAGTGCCCCCTCCCGGATTCGGCCAGCAAATGGGATCTAACTTTGATAATTTCTTAGCCACTCGAGCAAGGCAGATTCGACTGCCGCATTTCAAGTAACGCCACGGTCACGCTGCCGGTGGAAGAAGATGGTCACGGCTTCTCATATACAGGGGTCCTCTTGTGGTTGCCTTGACGATAGTCATCCCCCGTGATCCCAGCCCGCCAAAGAGCGCGGGGCTGGCGGATGGATCCCCGTGTCGCGCCTCGCAGCACCGTGCCAGAGGCCACCCGGCACAAGGGGCAGGGCATGCGCCGCACCAGCATCTGACTGGAGCAGCGGCTGCAGAAGATGTGGTGGCACGACAGCCACATGTCCTCAGGCTTTGTTTAGCGACGGGCTCAAATGCCCCAGGCCATCGGATTTTGGTGCCACACGCCAAGGCGGAAGTGTGAAAAAGAAAAGCTGACGTGGCCTGCGGTGTTTCTGGGGGTAACTCTCCGTTCGGGGGCTTCCCATCGTCCCACCCAGAGCCAACCCTTGCCCGTAACAAAGCCAAGTGTTGCTAGCTTTAAAGGGGGCCAAATCGTGAGAAACGAAAATGGGATGTCGAGCGATTCGTCTCCCGTTTGACTCACTTGCGCAACCCGTGTGTTCTCAGTCAGCGATGAACATCTGCAACTGTTGTCGTGCAATGCTCGCATTTGCACGGAGCACAGTCAATGAAAGTAAATTCGAAGCAAGCATTTTCATGAAGGACATGCTTGTATGTTGTATCAAATAAACAGTGTCCTGCAAAGTGAGGCAGATTTGATTAAGTTCGAGTCGAACCTGGTCAAGTCAAGTAAACTTTGAGTGAAGTCAAAGCAAGTAACGTCAAGTTGGGACAAGTGCGGCGTAGAGTCCAGTCAACTGAAGCAAAGTCAAGTTCAGACGAAAATCAAGCGAGGTCATGTTCCAAACAATGAAGTCGCGCCAGTATGGTCAATTCAAGTTGCAGGGCAGTATATTTGAAGTCAAAGCAAGCCGAGTCAAGTCGGATCAAGCGCGGTCTCGCGTGAAGAGCCATGAAGTAAAGTCCGGTCACGCCTTGACTCAAAATCAAGTATAAGTCAAGCCTGGTCAACTGGGGTCAAGACCAGCCAAGTCAAGCGAGGTGAAGCCAACACTAGAGTCGGGTAAAGTCAGGCCAAGTGAAGAGTCAATAGCTTCATACATTTGGACAATTGCCCCCTCGCCGGTAGGTGGTTGATCTCTGTAAAAGTGAACAAACCACATTCTGGACACTAATGTGGCTCCAATTAAAGCAACAAAATCAACACTTATTGACACTTACAGTGAGTAATTAAGTGAAATCCATTTAAACAAAAAACTGATTAATACCTACACAGCTCGTGCTTTGCATATTGCACTGGTGTCATGTGGAGCCGCAAGTGCCTGCCGAGCATCCCACTCTTCAGCATCCTCCCGGCAAATCCAGCAAATGTTCCTGAGAATTTGGAAATCCAAGGCTCGCTGCTCCAGTTTAAAAGACGCGAGGAAACATGTGACCCATGTTGCCACAATCTGAGCGTTGCAGTACTTAACCTCGGTTGCTGGCCTTTGCAAGTTCAATTCGAGAGGAGGAATGCCCAACTCCAAGTTGCAAGGCCGATGAGCCAAATGCAAGAACCTCCCCCTTGAAGCAAAGTAAATCTGATAGAAAGGCACAATCCAAAGAAACAAACTGTATGTCTTGTTTGCGGCCCCCAAAAGAGTGGGTTTTCCTTGTGGCCTCCCTTTAAAACCAGCCAAAAGGGGTACCAACTCCAAGAAGGACACACCCAAAGGCCACAGGAAACATTAACAGCAGTCCTGATGGCCAGTGGGATCTGCACGGCTCTCGTGCGAACTGCCAGATCCGTGGCAAACAAACATCGACCTTGAAAAACACAGTGAACCGCCATCCAAAATACTTGAACTCGTCCTCATCTGTCCCTCAACCCCTCAACCTAGCACAGGCCAAGTTTATTTCTATATATATATATATACACTCTATATTTGTATAATTAAAAAATGCACAAGTGCAAATCGAATCAAAATCTAATATCGGTTAAATTGCCTTTCATCCCTTTGTTTAAACCCCACGCGACCAGTTGCTGCGACCATGGCCCGAGCAACTAGGCGTACGTGCGATACCCTGGATGGGAAATGCAATGCGAATTGACAAGCCGGCGTTTTATTACCGCCTCCTTCTCAGAAGCCAAAGTGAAAAGCGGCAACCTTCGGGCTGGACTCGAAAGCAAGGACACCCCCGCGCACTCATCGTAAAATCGCAGGCAAGCAGCTGCAAGTAATCATCAAAGGAAGATGGCACACACCTGACAACTCGCAAGCCCATTCCCGACAGGGTGGCTTGCGACCTCCTGCACCCTCGTGCCAGAGTTTTCACATTTAGAGGCTTCTGGAACATCAAGCGTTCTATCCGCTTGTAAGGCAAATATGAGAAAAAATAGATTCAACTGCTCATCTGGGAAGAGGGAAAACGGAGGAGGTCCAGGAGCCGATGAAAAGCCATGGCGCCTTCTCGGATCTCAGTCCTTCAAGTGTGCGTATGGAGCCAATGAATCTGATTTTTTGGTTTGCTTGAGAGCCCAACTGTTCAAGAGCGGCTCAGCCGAACTTACAATGCTCAGGCACCTCCTAGTGAGACATCATCACACATGACAAGTCAATAAAAGATCAAAACGAGGCAAACGAGCTAAACGCTCAACCAAATTGAGCCACATCCGAGCCATCCAAGCCAAGGCAAACCAGACCAACGTCAAACAAAGCCCAAGCCAAACCATATCACACTCAAACGAGCGGCGTGGTGAATAACCTGTCGGCAATTGACTGTGGATCAACTCTTAACCCAACTGAGGGCATGGACAGTTGACCGACGTCTACAGGACAAACCCTTTTTGGCGCTCCTCACTGGGCCCTAGAAAGGCCAAGAAGGCAAAGCCGAAAAATCACCACTTGATTGAAAGAGAGATTTATTGTTTTTTGTATTGTCCTTCTTCTTCTTTTGTTTTTTTTGGGGGGGTGTCAGGTTTTTCGGTGTTGTGTGAAGATATACTCCCAAATGAACATCCAGACTTCTCTCAGCTTTCTTTCTCGCGATGCTAACACTTAACACTCTCCTCGACATTCCTCCAGTGCTGTCTCTAACATGAACATCTACCCCGCTTAGCTGGCAGGTTAGGAATGCAACCAAAGCCACCTCCAGGCTCTCTATCTATTTTACAGACTTGGGGCTCCTGGCCCCAAAGCTGACTCTGATTTCATCCAAGTAAGAGGTCCCAAAGAGATTCGGCTCCGAAGTTTAATGAGGACCCCCCTCCCAATCGGTTGGTGAACATATATCCCTACCCAGGTGATGTCCATCAGAAGGGTCCCTTCTTAAAATTCACACCCCGTTTTCGACCTCCAAAAGCCAAGGCGCCGGTCTCTTCCCCTCTCCAGGGGCCGCTGCAGGATCACCGCTCGTGCCAGGCCGACTTGCAAGACCTGAACATCCAAGGCTTGGCGCAACGGACGACCGCATGGTGCGATAGGTGGGGAATGAGGGAAGGAACCCGTGCCCTAGGACACCACAAAGGGATGGGTTTGTTGGGGTCATTCCCTCATTCCCTGCTGGCAGCAAGTGTGGTTGTTTTGCTGTTCATGGCCTTCAACCAAATTGTGCGGCATGTTTGCTACATCACAGCAATGGAACAAACCAACCAGAACTGACCGACCAACCGAGCGACAGAAATACAGGCAGGCGAATTAACAAGGTCCAGGCGTGTCTAAGGCACAACGTGTCTCAAGTCCGCATGTTTCGAAAGCTTCCGCCTGCTTGCCATCCTCCAAGTACTCATCCAGCAAACGAGCGTGAGCGTCATCCTCCCTCACGTGCACCGGCAGGACCACCTCAAGGGGAGCCAGAGGATGGGAGTTCCTGCTTGGGACTTTCAAGGCAAAGGATAGATGGGGCTCGGTGCATCTGGAAGCTTTGATGCAAATTGAAGCATCCTGGGCCTGCCTGATTTTTTGCGACTGGCCATGAAGCACATCCGGCCATCTTCCTATGCTTGCCCTCCCTTCAACGGGAAGTGAAAGCTAACGGGAGGGCTTGGAAGACTATTTCCTGGCGATGATTGTAGGAGGGCAACGGGTCCCAATCTAGATGACTTGCTATCTAAATTTAAAACCCCCCTGACAAGCTCTTGTATGAGACCATGGGGATGTATGTGCCAACAAGTGGCACACATGGGCAAACAAGCGGCACATGGATAGGCCACCCATGTTTCAAGTAAGGTCTCCTTTATGCGTTCTACCGTTCGAATCTGCGGGAGTAACGTATACCCTTACACCCAGCTGTCCCCGCTCCGCCCGCCTGTGACGGCGCCGGAGAAGCCTCCCCTGCCAGGAAGTCATAGACTCGGCTCCTCCAGTCCTGCGAGCTCAGCTTCGGATAAGGAGCAAACGGCCCAAGTCGTTGGCACGAAACCGGTGTGGCTGGCTACGAAATCCCGAAACCGGTCACGAAATGAAACCATGGTTGAAACCATGAGGTTGGTTGGTATTGCAGGAAACACTCATCATTCCATGGTGCACCACTTTGAAACCATGGTTGACACCATAAGGTTTGCTGGGTATTTACAGGGGACACATCATTCCATGGTTGCTTGGGTGGTGCAGGAGTTCGTCCATCCACAGTAGGGTAACCTTTGGTGGCGGGGATTCATGTCCACCAACCATCATTTATGTGAAACATTGCGATATAACATGCCTCAAGAACCATGCACACACGCGCACATCCACTTGCCTCGTACACAAATGTACAACCAAACACCTTCCCCACTCAAATCTGTCTCAACCTATGAAACACAAACTGGCTGAATCATCTTGCTGCGCCAGCCAAGAATAAGAAACCCCATTCAAGCTCCTGGCTATGTGCTACTGTATAATTACTTCACTCAGGCACATGGAAGCATACCCGGACATGAGTGCCTCCCACGTTTCGCATACGCCCAGCCTTGAGCGCAACTTACACTCTCTCTGAAGCCTTCCCATTCAGTGACACATTCCTAGAACATGGCGCAGATGGGCAGGACCCTCCAAACGGTTGATCTCATGTGAGTTTGCTTTCAAACAACGACAGCAAGCGATCAAACTGGCTTAGTCTCTTCCCATGTCTTCACCCATTACCCATGTTCTTGTTCAAAGAATCTCCCTCTGATCTCCCCTCAAAGGGACCTGGCCAACTTATGCAAGAACAGCCGACCCTCCTCCCCCCACTTCCCCCCACTTCCCTTCCCTCGCCAGAAAAAAAAAAAAAAAAAAAAAAAAAAAAAAAAAAAAAAAAAACTGAAGAATGCATCTCCGCACATCCCAAACCCTAAACCCACTTCCCCCAAACCACAAACCCCCTCAAAGCATCCACCAAACCCCCAAAACTTGGTTGCTATTGACCCCCCCGCAAGAAGTTTCACTTTTGGGGTTTTTGATAGTGGAAAACCCCGTGATTTCCCGAAAAGTGAAAGTCTAAGGATCCAAGCCACTAGCAGCCACGCAACCACCACCGCTCCCACTAAAACCGGCACCGGCACCGGCGAAACCGGCGAAAGCTCGCCTCGTCGCCGTGCAGGTCTTCCGGGCGGCGCCAGGCCATGCCCAGGAACTCCACCAGGCGGTTGCCCCCCGCGTACATCCGGTCCACCGGGGTGTGGTGGTGCGTGCCCAGGCAGAAGTACCTGTCGCCGAAAGATTGTTTTGTTTTTTTTGCGAAGGGGTGCGGGGCGCAAAAAAGATGTACCCAAAAAGCCCCAAGAAGTTTGCAACAAATGAGATATATGATCAAAACCTGGGTACACACCCTCCAACAATCAGGAAGTGGACATGGGGCTTCCCCAAAAGGACGGTAGTCTTCCAAAACCCTCCTGTCAGCTTCCATGATTGTTGGAGGGAGGGCAATAATGGGTGCGGGTCAAGAAAAATATGTACCCTTCCTCCAACTAACATACCTGTGGGGAGGTACCTGGAAGTCCAACTAACATAACACCTGTGGGGAGGTACCTGCAAGATTCATTTCCTTTTGAAGGGAGCCCCTGTCAGTTGCCATGTTAGTTGGAGGAAGGGTACCCAAAATAGAACCTTCGTAAATGGAAAGAAGGACGAAACCCTGCGGTCCCCCGGTGGTTTAATTTTGACCCTTACCCAAATGAGTTAGAATCAAAATCTGATAATATAATGGCTGACCCAGAAGCATGTAAAGTAAAAAAGGCGGCTCCGTCCATTTATGGTTGGGACTATCCCGCGCCAACCTTCATCTACCCGATTTTTGACTGTGGCTCAAACGGCGCCCGTTCACTGGGCAGTGGGTGTGAACCAATTTCGGTACGTGATATGTGTGTCCCAGGCCAAGCGTCAAGCTCAAGGCCAATCAGTTTTGATCTTGGGGCATGACGCGCTCTTCTTGAATTGTATCTGACCAAACAGAAGTAAGAGCGACACTAGCTGTTGGTGGTTAGCAAACGATGCTTGGGATGTTAATCATATACCTTATATCTGCCTGACGGCAGCTTTTGGATTTGCCCTTGGCTGCCTGCAATGAGCAAGTCAATCATCTCTGACTACTGCATGCTATACAGAAAGCCACAAATCCAGCTGGCCTATGTCAAGGGCGAAGCTGTATGATGGCCATGTTGGTGGGGGTGATGCTTTGCTGGCACAAGAAACCTCACTGAAACTTGTCTAGAGGACTTCACTGGTGACTTGGGAGGCATTCCTACACTGCGCAAACCAGGTGCCGCAAATGTAGGCCATTGCAGACATAGACATATCAACCCGTGCACCTTGGGTGCAGATTGCGCTGAGTGTGAAGGTCTGCGGCTTCCCTAAAGGGATATCTTGCCTATCTGACAAGACAAATTCCATGAAACTCCCCGTGTCAACCCCGCCCAAACCTTAACGCGGTATTTGCGCCGCGACAGCCGATATCGTATTCGCTGCCACACAAGATGACATGGGCCTTGCCTTGTTGACGTGCAGTATTGGGGCTTGTCTCAACATAGGATTGGGAAACCCAAAATCGTTGGATTCAAAGGGGAGGTGAGGGGTTGTGCCTCGTCACATTTGAGCCCAGCCGCATATCCTGAAATGGGAAGAAACGTTTCAAGGTTCGGATTTTCCGGGTCACACGGATGGCCTTAGGCGAAAATTGGTCCCAAGTTGTTTTCTTCCGCGGTTCCCGGTATTTTGTCCAGTGCCTACATGATTCTCTCTTCGTCCCTTTGAAACCTGGCGATTGGTGCCTTTGGAGCATCCAACAGTGCAGTGTAGATTGCCAAAATGGGTGTCTTTCTTTGACAGTCCAACGGTGGGAATTGAGAATGGATGAGGTCTCTGGGTCATCTTTGCCCTACTGTGGATGGACGAAATCCTGCACCTAAGAAACCCTGGAATGATGATTCGATTACCCCGGCACATACCAACACACGTTACGGTTTCAACCATGGATTCATTTCGTGGAGCGATTCCTGGATTTCGCAACCATCCCACGGGATCACCGGTTTCGACCCAAAACATGGCAGACCCTAAGAGGGAAGAGCTCGATGCACGCCGAGGTGCCCCACTGCCCCGCCCCACACGTTCTCGGGTAGGACCTCGGGCGCCCGCGGACATGTGCCGTTACCAGGCATGTGTGTGTGTGCTTTTTTTTCCGGGGGGAACCTTTAATTGATTACACTTCAAAGGAACTGATCACCTGGGTTTCTTTCGATTCTGCTACGACTTGACAGGGCTCAGCGGCCCCAGGCATTTGCGAATTGGAGCGATTGGAGCTGCAACTGTCCTTCCGCATCGTTGCCTGGAGCGTCTCGTTGGGCTTGCCGAGCAGACTGCATTGTTTCGCTCGATGCAACATCTCATGCAACACGTCTCACCTTGCAGGGTTGAACAAAAGTAAAGGGACCCCTGTAAAGTCTTTCTTGCTCGAACGCTTCTATTTCCTGCGATCCACGTGGATTGGCCCACACTTCACGATTTGCACACACACTGTCCGTCTGCATTGGGGGCCTTCCAGCTGTATCAAGACCGCATGGCTCGTTCCGACTCGGTTCCCGCTGAACTCCAGGGCTCGCGCTGGGAACACGTAGAACATCCAGGCGACCGGAAAGCAAATCGCCCGGCAGGAACAGCTATCCTCAGAGCCCCGGTCCGCAACCGCTGGGCCATATCCACCTTGGCGCCCCCCCCAGGCTCCTCTTGCAAGAGAAAGCAAAAGAAACAGGTGGCCAAATCGCTTTTGCATTGGTGAAATGCCAGTGGGTGTAAAACTCGCAGCAAAAAGCGCAAAGGAGACTAGGGGATCCCGGGCTGCGTGGATTGGGGCCGCTCCCATTTGTTTTGAGGCCTGAGTGCCCCCCAAGGCTGAGTTGGTGGATTGACCAGAAACGGTCTCAATGGGACAGTTGGAAAGCCTCAAACCTGGATGCCTTGAAGTCCTTGAATCGCAATCCTCAGGGCTTAGCCCACAAAGATTTCAGCACAAATGCCTAGCAGGTAAGCGATCACAACCCTCAAACTGTTTACTCATTCCAGAGCAGGCAACGCATTTTGCAGATGTCTCGCGATACACATTGAATGAACGGGTCTGATTGCAAGACTGATGCCTTGTGAAATATAGTACACGTGGGGCGGTCAAATTGGGGACCCCTTTTGTGCGGCTGCAATACCCACAAGTTGGTCTGAGACATGCCAGTTGGTGCATACAAATTGCGCAGGCTGAACAACACAATGGGAAGCCCTCACAAAACTAACATAAGCGGATACATAACTACCTAATAGTGTCCTTCTATCATGGCAAAAATTGGTTTCGACGCAGAACTGCATTCCTCTCATTCAGGCCCTTGCGACCCCCGCCCCAAACAAAAAACGTCACCGACTCCCAAGCCATCAGACAGGCAGCTGGGGGTGAAGCAGAAAGGGTCGTTGGGAAAGGGCCCCCAGAAGTAGAACATGTCCGCCTGGCTAAGTTCTGCAAAAAGCTTCTTTTCTGTGCACAAATCGATCAAATCTCGATTCACGCGTCATGTGGATGTGTCCTTTTTCTGTCGAATCCCCTTTTTCTTCTGGTTTCAATAGGGCAACCAAAAGGAACCAACCATTTCAGGGGTACCCCTATTTTGTAGACACCCCGCATGTTTCACAGGTTCTCGCAACACACCTGACACGACGTGTTTTCTTCTGCGTACGAGGGATGCATGGCCAGCCGCCGGGCTGCCTCAACGCAGTAAGGTGACCACAGAAATCCGCAGGCGGTTCAAACAAAGAAACGCAATGCTGCAAGCATTCCAGCTTCCCAATGAGGACTGCGCTTGCCAGAGGTTGATGCTTGCAGCACAGGCAAACTGATTTGGTCAGACAAAATGCATCTCAAGGGGTGGGACGACACGACCTGGTCTGTTTCTTGCTTGGGGCTGCGTCTTCGACATGCTCGAGTTCAAACATCTTTGACGCGCTTAAACGTGCGATGACAAGCTGCTGAAAACTGAAGTCTGCCAATCTGACTATGTGGACGCAACGAAATGTGGGTCCGGAAGCATTGGGTCCCAACCGAATCTGTGGGCGAAAAATAATTATCTTGAACCGGAAGGTCTGCCTCGCGTGATTCCCACTGCTAGTCTGCAACAATAGAAACCACGGCTCAAAAACCAGGATGAAAGGAACATCCCTGGTTTCCCCTTGGAAAAAGGCCATCCCAAAGAAAAACTTGTGTTATTTGTAAAATATGTTTTCATCTATGGTCTGTATGTGTGGCGTTTCTGGGTGCCACATGGCAGAAGGTAGAATATTCTGAATGAGAACATTCCTGCACTTGATGCTTGCTACATGCTTGAGAGGTTGATGGTTGATGCCTCTCATGCATCAGCGACCTGCACGTCTGTGACTATCCCTGAGCCGGCATCACGGTATGCTTGGCAGGCGGAACCAGCAAGGCTGAAGGACTGAGTCAAACCTCGCCTCGAAAACCCGCTGGCCCCAACCCCCGAAACCAACCTTTGACTCGCCTGCCTGAATAACCAGTCACCACAGTCAGCGGTAAACACTTGCGACCCTTCCCAAGTGGTCATTTTCCTGCTAGTCCTGTTCTCTAACAGGGCTTCCACCAAACCAACTCGAAGAGGAAATGTGGCAGAATATACCCTCCCACCAATTAACATGGAACCTGACAGCAGGGTCCTGGAAGACCATTTTCCTGTCAGAACGGATGGGATGGTACAGACTTTTATGTCCACTGGTGTAACCAATCGTCACCCCAACCCGCCCACGGCACGACTTGGAAGCTCCGAGCCTCCACCGGGCCGTGGCCGG